CCTTGGTGAATCTGTGCTGGCTTTTCCCAATCATGTGTTTCATTTGACTTGTGATAGCCCCCAGGAGGATTCGTTCCATAACTTTCCCAAGGACTGAAGTAAGACTGATGGGCTTATAATTTCCTGGATCCTCCTTTAAGCCCTTCTTGTAGATGGGGGTGACATTAACCTTCTTCCAGTCTTCTGGGATGTCTCCTGATCTCCACAACTTCTCAAAGATTATGGAGAGCAGCCTCGCAACGACATCAGCCAGCTCTCTTAACACTCTCAGGTGGATATTGTCAGGGCCTATTGATTTGTAGGGGTCAAGCTCCTCTAATATTTCACATATCAACTCTTTCTTCACTGACAGTGGGTCTGTGTTTGCATCAGCCTGGATTTTTGTTCCCAAGGCCTGGGGCCCAACAGTGCTAGTAAAGACAGAGGTGAAGAAAGTGTTGCGAACCTCTGCCTTTTCAGTGTTGTTGGTGGCTAATTCACCTCTCCTGTTTAACAGTGGGCCAATATTTTCCTTCTGTTTCTGCTTGTTGTTTACGTACCTAAAGAACCCTTTCTTGTAGTTTTTGATGTCTCTAGCCAATTTCAATTTGAGCTGAGCTTTTGTTTTTCTAACTGCATCTCTGCACACCCTGGCAATGCCCTTGTAGTTCTCAATGGGTATTCATCTGCTTTTCCATCTCTTGTACACTCCTCTTTTGATTTTGAGTGGGCTCAGAAGCTCACAGTTAAACCAAGGGGGTCTCTTGCTCTGCCTACTTCCCTTACCTTTAAAGGGGATGAACTGCTTTTGTGCTTCCAGGAGAGCGTTCTTGAAAAACTCCCAGCACTCACTAGCTCCTTTATCCTCCATGGAAGCTTCCCACAGAATCCCTCCCAATTGAGGTCTGAGCGAGCTGAAGTTTGCTCTTCTAAAATCTAAAACCTTTGTCTTAGTACTAACCTTCAGCATGCTCAGCAGAATCCCAAACTCCACAGTATTGTGATCACTGCAGCCAAGGTTATCACTAACCGAGATATTAAAAAGCAGGTTTTCTTGGTCTGTGAGTAGCAAGTCCAGCAGTGCCTCATTCCTGGTTGGCACATCTGCCATTTGTATGAGGAAGCAGTCCTCTACGCATTCCGGGAACTTGATGGATGACGTGAGCTGCTGTATTGTTCTTCCAACAAATGTCTGGGTCGTTGAAGTCACCCTTAAGAACAAGGTTCTGTTGACCCGAAGCTTACTTAAGCGACCCAAATATTGCTTCGTTTGCCTTATCGTCTTGGTTTGGAAGTCGGCAGCAGATGCTACTGTAAGATCCCCCTTGGAGACGACCCCTCTGATATTCACGCAGAGGCATTCGATAGGGCTTCCACAATCACCACAGCTGACTTCTACTAACCTTCTTCTAAGGTTCTCCTTAACACAGAGTGTGACTCCTCCTCTTCTTCTTCCCTGCCTGTCTTTATGAAACAGCCTATAACCATCCATTGTGATTGCCCAGTCATGTGAGTTGTCCCACCATGTTTCAGTTATTCCTATGATATCATAACTTTCTGACTAGGTGCGGAGCTCCAGTTCCTCCTGTTTGTTCCCCAGGCTGTGTACATTAGTATACATACACTTGAGGTGGTTGGTCTTCTGGTTCTCATCTTGGGAGGCAGCTAAGGAACATTTGTTGCTGATCTGGTTGGCCTGGCTTATTCCCCAGTTGGTTGCGATGGCGTAGTGTTGCCACTTTGGACCCCACCCCCCGAGTCCTTCAGTTTAGAGCCCGCCTCACCGAGTTGACCAGCCTGCTGCCAAAGATTCCCTTGCCTCTTCTAGGGAACCTAGAAGAGTTCATAAAATAGAAGGGAGTTTGTGTAGACCCAGCTCCACAGCATTGTGTTGTCTAAAGCTCTTTCTGGATCTAACTCTTAATTCCTTGGGAGTTTATAACAGAATCTTATGTATAGATAAATATAATATATAAATTGTACACACTGATGCTTTCTTTTATCTCATTTAATTTTCCTGTGTGTGGACTCTTTACATACATTAACAAGCTGTCTAATATACTAGTACTTCAACATTTAAAAATGAGTTGTTACTTCATATTTTAAAATAATATATAATTTGTTGGAGATAGTTATTAATGCAAAGAGGGAAAACATAGGTTATTGTGTTCTTCTAATCTGTCAAAAAATAACAAACTTTTTTATCCACTAGATGTTAAGAGTGTACAAAGCTGCAGTACAACAGACATTGGATATACTCTTTCTCCCTGAAGGAAGAGAATTTCTTACAAGCACAGATGCAGTAAGCCGGGACTCAGCTGATCGTACCGTTATTGCATGGGACTTCCAAAGTGCTGCGAAAATCTCCAATCAGATTTTTCATGTAAGATTAACAACTAGTATTGTTTGGGTCATGATTTAGTATTTCATGCTTGTCAGTGTTGTAAAAAAAAAAAGCTTTTGATTTTCTGTAAGATCATTGTGTGATGTATAAAATGCTCTTAATGTAAGTTGAGAGCTTGCTTTATTTTTATATTTTAAAAACACTTACTTATTCTTAAAAAATGACCTTGAAAACTGATAGGTCTCCTTGTGTTAAAAATATTTACATTTCAGTGCTCATTCACTGACATCTAAGCTATATTTAGGCAAGGCCACTGCAGTGTCATTCTAGCTTGCCAATGGTGCATGGCAGCAGTTGCTGTAGTGCCACATTTCTTTTCCCACACTTTTTCATACGTTTTTTATCAGCTGCAATGAGGGCTATTGACAAATTGGGTTTAATATTTGCATATTATATGTATATCTAGTATGGCATAATCACAGAGGCAAAATTTACTTTTATCAGTGCAGGTGCAGTATTTCTCTCAGTAATCTGTCCACGCAAGATAGTTAATGGACTAAATTGTCTAGAAAGACTGACAGCTTCCAAGGAGATTACCAAGGAAGTTACTAGATAATTCCAACTCCCTGGGTGTTTTTTGAAAACCTAAGTCTAATATCCTATGTAATATAATATGATTGGATTGTATATAGATGCTTTTTGGCTGAAAGGAAGAGTTCTCTACTGACAAGGACAGGTAGTTGATGATCTAATGGGATTGTTTCACGTTTAATTTCTACAGTTATGCCTTTATCCAATATTGGATTTATCAACATCTTGGATAGGCAATAGGAAAAAAAAAAAAAAAAGCTGTGAATATATAAAGTACAGACCAGTCAGGTTCAGTATCAAGGAGTAAAAAACAACTTTTTTCTCCTTATCCCCCACCAAACAAACCAACAACCCCCCCTCCCCCCGCCTACCTTCTCATGACTACAGCATCTCTGAAATGGACTCTTTTCCCCCATTTCTGCACTGTGAATAAACAAAACTTGGTGGTGATTTTGGAAACTCTGCTTCACTTTTCTGAATTTCACCTTGGAACCCTTCAAGGTGGGAGAGAACCCCTGAGCCTTCCAAACAGATTAGATCCCAACAGGACTTGATCTATTGCTTCTCTGCATTAACAAATGAATAGTTAAGAGCTCTAAAATAACCCATTACTACAGTATACCCAGCATAACAGCACAGTACTCCTGCAGATTGCATTGTGCTTTCTGATCCCTTATTGTTAGACCCAGTTACCCCCCAGAACCATGCGGTGCTCTGCCACGGAGCACACTCCTAACCAGGCACACTGCCTAACCCTGTTTTGGTTTCTGTGCCCAATACCTTACAATTCCCAGAACTTCCTTCCCCGTTCATCACTTCCAAACCACACAACAAAACCAGTCTGATGTTCTTCCCACTCTACCACATAGCCCATGGTGTCCAGTGGTCACTGTCAGCCTGCTGTCCTTCACGTGCAGACACATCCTGCAGCCAAAGCTCTCTTAATTTGTATTCATGGCATCAAAATTCAGCACTGCGTCTTTAGGTTAGGCTGAAGCTAGAAGAGGTTTGGACCTGGTGGAAACCTTGCAAGATGCAGTCACCATGCAGAGTTTTGAAAGTAATCTTAATTCAGTCTTAAATAGGAACACTAAAGTAAAGCCAAGTGTTATTAATTTTTGCAAATATTTATGAATTTACAGCCAGCAGCAGTCTACATGGCAAATCACTGTCATAAGGAACTTCTGACTTAGTTGGCTAATAATGATCCCTTTTTTTTTTTTTCTTTTTTTATAAGGATGGGGTGGGGAAAGGTGTCTGTTTAAATGGGGTGATTTCTATTCCTGTCAGTGTGGCCAGAAATGAGAGGATGGAGGATTCGAGAACTGTACAAAGTAGCATGGAAGGCATGGTATGGCTATGGAGGAAGGGATATGGGAGAAGAGGATTCACTTTCACATTCAAACTTCAGTTTTCCTTGGGCAGGAAGAGGATGATTGAGTACCATCAGGTTGGAGTTACCTTTCTGCAGCTGTTCTGCAGTATAATTATTGTTCAAAGGGAGATGGGATTTTGGTCAGTATGTAGGAAATCAGGGTAGAGATTTGATTTGATATTTGTCTTGGTGTAAGACTTTCAGTGGATTGTAATGAGTTAAGCATCTTTTATATAATATATACTATGGAGATGACTTATGTATACCTTGTCCTGGTTTCAGTTGGGGTAGAGTTAATTTCCTTCCTAGTAGCTGGTACAGTGCTGTGTTTTGGATTTAGGGTGAGAATAATGTTGATAACGCACCGATGTTTTAGTTGTTGCTAGGTAGTGTTTATGCTAGTCAAGGACTTTTCAGCTTCTCATGCTCTACCGACTGAGAAGGCTGGAGGTGCACAAGAAGTTGGGAGGGGGCACAGCCAGGACAGCTTGGGCATCGGTTGGCAGGTGGTGAGCAATTGCATTGTGCGTCATTTATTTTGTATATTCTTTTATCATTATTGTTATTGTTGTTGTTGTTGTTGTTGTTGTTATTATTTTCTCTTCCTTTTCTGTCCTATTAAACTGTCTTTATCTCAACCCACGAATTTTACTCTTTTTTTCACTCCCCCCTGCTCCCATCCCACTGGGGGAGCAGGGGGAGTGAGCGAATGGCTGTGTGGTGTTTAGCTGCCTGCCGAGTTAAACCACAACAATGGTCTCTCAAATGTCTAAAGATAACCTGAATCATTTGAACAAATCTTTTGTTTCATACAACAAAACTTTCTTTAAAATTATTTTCAGGAGCGTTACACTTGCCCAAGTCTGACTCTGCACCCAAAAGAGTCTATGTTTGTTGCTCAGACGAATGGGAACTACATGGCTTTGTTTTCTGCCCAGCGACCTTACCGAATCAACAAAAAGAAAAGATACGAAGGACATAAGGTATCCTTCTTCACCGGGAACTTAGTATCCAAGTCTAGAAGGAAGATAGATAGCAAAGTACCTGTGCTTTTTAATATGTCTGCTAATAGTGTTTGATTATAAATCAGCGATAGATACTAATTGCCTTCGTTTGCTTTCCCGTGTGCCAGTATTTTGAATCATATGCAGTCTGAAGAAAATAGTTATTTTAAGATTTTATGAATACTTAATAGCTTGATTAAATAAGTTTGTGTTACAGCTGTGTCTTAATAAACACCTGGAGAAGTCCTTAGTGTATATTTATTTAAAGGTACAAATTTTTTTTGTACTATATTCATTTTCAGTATATCACAATGAACTTTTCTAATCAGCATCAGGAGTTACACTGTTATTGATTTCCACAGGTGGAAGGATTTGCAGTGGGCTGTGAATTTTCTCCAGATGGAACACTTTTGGTGACAGGAAGTTCAGATGGCAAAGTGTTTTTCTACAACTATCATACCGCTAGGATTATTCGCACTTTGTCTGCACATAAAGAAGCTTGTGTGAGTGCAATATTTCACCCAGTCTTGCCATCGCTCCTTGCAACATGTGATTGGGCTGGAGAAATCAAGATCTGGCAATAACAAGCAGAGTTACTTTTCAGGATGTCTCCTGTTAGTCTGTCAAAGGCGTAGGAAATAAACCATGGTATGCATTGTTGTGATGTGTTGTAAGCAGGAGAGACTGTTGTCTTTTCTTCTATGACCTCTAAGTATATGCTTTCGTAATGCAGTTAAGATGGTCTTGTGGTTAGCTGCTGAGCAAAGAAGTGGTCTTACTCTCTCCCTCGGCCCTGGTGACAAATTTCTGCCCCTTTTGTGTCAACCTTCTAGTGCTCATCTAGCCCCACCCTGGTTTGAGTAGCTAAACTTAGGAAAATTATTGCTCTTTTTATGTAGCTTTTCAATGCAGCTTTCTTAAACCAGGTTTCATGATAGATTCATAGAATCACAGAATCATTTAGGTTGGAAAAGACCTTTAAGATCATCAAGTCCAACCGTAAACCTAGCATAACCATGTCCGTAAGCACCACATCTACATGTCTTTTAAATACCTCCAGGGATGGTGACTCAACCACTTCCCTGGGCAGCCTGTTGCAATGCTTGACAACCCTTTCGGTGAAGAAATTTTTCCTAATATCCAATCTAAACCTCCCCTGGTGCAATTTGGGGCAGTTTCCGCCCATCCTCACCAGAAGTTCGTGAGGACATATTATTTAACAGAGGATGACGTTCAGATCAATTAATGCCTATTTGATCTTTCTGGGATTTTTTTTTTCACTAGTTTAAACTAGTTTTCACTAGTTTATCTCCCGACCTGGTCACTGAAGGGTTAGACAAGCAATAATGTAGTTCAAGGCAAAACAGCTTCTATGCACAAGAAGGGGGAAGATCGCAGGGCAGGTGGGACTGCTTCTTTTGGAAATGGGTAGCTGTTACCAGCTCAACTTATTGTAAAATGCCTTCTGAGCGTTCCAGGGAAAGGTGTGCCAGATAACTTGAAGCTAATTTTGAAGTCAATAAATTTGTGTTCTTGAAATCCCGATGTTTAAACTTGAGTTTTAAACTTACATTTGTGACTGTACATAAACAAAGCAAAACTATGTGTAAATATTTTTAATGAAAAAATAAACTTTTTTTTTATACATGGTGTCTGTATTTCACTATTTTACTCCTGTTATTCTTGGCAAGTTAGTACTCAAGACTATCATGGAATTAATACTTGGGGGGGAAACAATTAATATGCTACCCTAATTTATTGTGCACACACATGCATTTCTCCATACTTCTTGATGTCACTTAGACACAGGAAATTGTCATCATGCTATTCAGTGCAGAGGATGTTCTTTGACATTCAGACAGGAGCTGGACTATTCTGCAGCGAATAGAAAATTCATTAGGCCATAACTGTGTATTTACATATGTATAGATTGCTTGTAAATGTATTTTAAATTTGCATTCCCTGCACTTGTATTGCTTGGTTCTAGAAATTATTATCCATTTTATACATGTGTGTGTGTGTGTGTACATACATGTATCACTGAAAAACATATGTCTGTGCATCACATAAACCATATGTATTCCCAACTTTGGCTCCGTATAAATATGTGCTACCTTGCAGTGAGTGCTATAAGCTTGGCTTGTGTTTGGTCTGATTAGTCTATAAGGGTATTTTAACACACACAGCATAAATGTGTTGAGTAAATTGTCTCTGTCATGGAATCCAGAAGACAGGTGTACTAGCAACTTTTCCTCTGTAGCATCTTTTTATTCTTTTGATTTTTTCTTATTGGCACAAATACAAGGGGTTTTTATCCATTTTTCACATACTCGGTTAAAACTGTTTTTTCAGAAAAGAATTTCTTGCAAATGGCAGATTTTAATTAAGGAATGAGCAAAATGTACTCCGTTGGTTTGTAGCTTGTGTTCCTTATAGCTTGCAGTAAGAAATAAGCCCGTACCAAAACTGTGCATCCACAGTTATATTGTTTGAGGTCTGGACCAAGATATTGTGGCTGCGTGGTTTTAATCATCTTATCAACAGTTATGATGGGTTTTAACACGGAACATTACATTTTAGTGAACATCCAATGTAGCGCAAGTAACTTTTTTTTTCCCCCCCAGACTGTTCTTAATTTCTTGCTTCCTTCTTCAGCAGTCAGCTGTTTGACGGGAGCCTGGCTTTTGCACTTCTCTTGTCTGTGCCTCTAGCATACAAGCCAGCTGGACCCTTTAAGTGACAACTGGTTCAGTGATTTGATAAGTTACTCCTAATTCAAGCTGTGGGATCTTCATAAATGTCAGAAGGAGTTCAGCTGAAAGTGAAGTGGTAGTTGTCTATCACTGGGCAGGCTGAATCACAACTGCACGGCATTTTCTGTGTCCTTCCCTCCAGGTGTTTTAGTTCAAAATGTGCTATTGCCACTTTAAAACTTCTGGCAACCGGTTGTGTCTATATGAAGGATGGGCAGCACTGAGGTTGTGCGATGCATCCTGTTATCTGCACAAGAGATTATCTGTCTGTCATTTTATTACATACAGTGTTGCGAAAGGCCTCTGAAATAAATGTGAGCTCATGGTAGGAATGCCTTATTGGATAAGGCCCCAGCTTATGTGAAGACTGCTCTATATCTGAATGAGCTCTCAGCACATTCAGCCTCAGCTGAGAGCACCTCTGGATAGAGTGAAAGATCCGAGAGAGCAGTCTTTGGGAATCATTGCACATACTGTGTAGAAAAGTAACTGCATTTTGTAATATTACCCATGTTGCTTAAGTTTAACTTATGTCCTAAGGCACGATTCTGGTGTCTGACCTTTATCCCTCCTGAAATTATCTTTCAAGTATAAATTTTAGACTATTGATGGGGGGGGAGCTTAAATTTGATTAAAGGTAGTGGAGAAAAATAAAAGAAACTTGAAACTGTATAATCTTAAAGAATATTAAAATTAGAATTGCATTTGTGTCAGATTTCCAAGATGGCTGGAGTTTTAATTACTTATGAGATCCAGCCAAAGGTTTTATAATGCAATGAAATTATGTTCACAGCATTATCTTGTTAAAATCTCTTTCTAATATAAAACTGATTAAGACACAGACTGAAATTTAATCATTGGAAATATTTTAGAATAGTGGTGTCAATTAAGTTTTCATTATGATTCAAAGACAAATTCTTCCTTGTAATCTTATGTAATGAACTGTAATCAAAAAATATCCACATTGCTCCATCATCCTGCAATTACCAAATACTGTTTGGGCTGCAAACAAGGATTATTATGGTCAGATGAAGTTTTTAGAATGTAGTGAATTGTTGGTTAATTAATTTTATTCATAAAATTGTAATCTAGAAATTTTTGAATCTTGCTTTAGGAGCAGTTCTTCTAGCTTTATATAGAGCTCTCTAGGGCATCACATATTAGAGCCAAGGCAGAGATATTCAGCATTTTGAAATGGTCTAGGCTGTGTAGATAAACAAGCCACATTAATTTTAATCTGTTTTGTACTGTACCAAAAAGTAATAATGCCAGTCTCTACCACTTTATTATTTGCTACTGGAGCGTTAGTAATTTGGGGTGTCAGAGGATGCAAGCTATTCAACTGCCTTTATCTCAAAAACCTGCTAATTAGCAGACAGTTGTTAAAATCATTGTGTTCACTCAGCTGAAATACTGTTGGTGAGTCACTCTATATCTCAGCTATAGGCCTAATCATGAAAATAAGGTATGGCGTTACAATGGGATGACTCTTTCCGTAGGGGACAGGCAAATGTAAAGCTACAAGACTATGGTGGAACAGAACAAAACAGGAAGACCAAAAATCATGGGATCTCAAATTTCCTGTTATCCTGATATATGGGGTTGGACTGCATTCAACTGAAAATACTTGCTCTGCTTTCTTTGGCTAACCTTCATCTTGTTCTCTTAATCCCAGCTCCTCCTAGGCAGTGCTCGCATCCTCACCATTTAATTTTCAGTTTTTCTGTCCTTGCTTCAGCACCTTGTGCTCTGCATTTAAATGTATAGTAGTCTATATGCTTACATTCCATTCATCTTCTTTTCAATAGATTTCATTTTGCTGTGCTCTGACTTGTGGCTTTCAGGCTTTCATTCCAGCTGCCATTAGAAAGGTAGCCAGAAATCCCAGAGCACTTTGCACTCTGTTCTTGCCTTTCTCTGTTTTCCAGTTTTGATGAGGTTTATTACTTATTCTCCCCTCTTTCTTAGCCTCTCTTCTGTCTACTTCTTTTTCTACCTTTGATTACTGCTTTACTGTCTTGCAGATCCTTTCTATTGTAGCCGCTCCTACAAGGTGTACCTACCTCAATGTTTTAGTTTGTCAGGAGTGCACTTTTTGGGAAAAAATAATAATAAAAAAAAATCTCCCAGTTATTGCCACTTACAATGCTTTGGTTCACAGAGTGCACAAACTACACTTCTTCAAAATGAGGAGATGTGCTCCAAGACCATATTTAACAAGTCCCACATGGTGGAACTAGACTGGAGATAGTTCAGAGTATCCCCTACCCCCCCCCCAAATGCATGGAGGTTAGATGCTGCTTTTTCAGAAGTGAGACAAACTTTACAAATTTAGTCTTGTAGGGCCTTACTACTTGCTAACGTAAATGTAGCCTCAGGAGTTTCAAAGAGTCTTTGGCACTTTCCCCTTCCTTTGATAAATCTCTCACCTATCTCTTCATGACTCACCAGTCTGCACAGAGTGGTCATACGTCTGATGTTTTCACACTTCAAAGAGTGGAAATGTAGGAAATTAAGTTAATTTATGAAGGGAAAAGAAAACAATTTTAGAAGCACTTGATATCCAGTGGTAGTAAGACAAGCTGGCCCCTGCCCAGAGCTTGATGAATTCTGCGGAACGACTGAGTTGGGACAGAGCAGCCTAGTCTATAATGGGAATGCTGCGTCTCTAGATGGGAGTAGTGCTCCCTTCGCTGGCTTTAGGTGGAGGTTTAGAGGAATTAAGCTTATTCACCTCCCTTTCCCAGTCCCTGGATATCTTTCTACAGAAGCTTATTTAGAAGCCTACCAGAAAGTAGCTAGGTACTGCACAGAAATGGCAAAGCTTCATCCAAATGTAATTCTCACTACATTTCACCATTTTGGATAAGTGCCTCTTAAAATCAATCTAAAAACTCTTGCAGGAACTCTTTGAAGAACATTGAAGTTCACCAAGGTTGAAAATGCCTGAACTTACAGTCCAGACAGCTTCAGCTAGATCCATTTGTCTCCAATTTCCATCAGTATGGCCACAAAACTCAGGTATCGTCCCTAGCTCTGAGTAAGATTTGTACTAACAAATTGTTTGAAGTGTGTCCTTAGAAGAGCAATTTATGTAACAACTTGTGCG